TTTAGGTTACATTGTTTTCATTTCTAAGGTAAAGTTCAAATTGTAGTTGAGCCCTTCAACCTGGGGGTGTGCTGTTTACCCCTACATGGTGCACATTAGGTGAGAACTCGCCAATTCCCCGCCTTCCTTCCCTTTCCCTCCCTCCTCCTTCCCCTTGCTGGAATGTACAGGTGTTTTACAGGTGTTTGGTGTGGGCCTGTGATTGTTTATATATTGCTTTCATATTAGTATTGAATACTTTGGATACTTGTTTTTCCATTCTTATGATACTTTATTAAGAAAAATGTGTTTCAGCTCTACACAAAAGAAACAAAATCATTTTACCACAGGGATATTTGCACTAGAATGTTTATTGCAGCTTAATTCACAGTTGCCAAGAGGTGGGTGTTTTCTTTTGGTTCTGGCCAGCCTCAGCTCATCTTCACTCTGCTTGCTACTTACTGCACCTGTGCTCAGTTGGCTAATTGGCCCAGGGTGTGTTGGTCCTGGAAAGACTCACATGTGTGGAAGTTGGCTGGCTGTTGGTTGGGTTGGTGGGTCTTTTTATTCCCTGTTTTGTTTATTTGTTTGTTTTTATTTTTATGTTTTGATATCTTAGGAGCCTCGCTGACCCCAAGGGCCTGTCCCTCACAGGGCTAAGGCCTAGAGATAGTGAACTACTCACCTGGGAGCGTGCTTTTCATACACAAAACAACCTGTCCTTACCCCAGTCCCCCAGACACCTCCTTTATCTAGCTCTCCCAAGCTAGGCCACTATTCATTCACCTGCCCTAGTGACCCCAGGGCCAGGAGCCCAATAAGTAGATTCAGGCCCTACACCCCAGCTCTGCTGAAATTTTTCAAACTAGCCAGTCCTAAAACTGCTTGTTCCTGCTTTGCTTATTCCTTACCATGGAAATTACCATAAAGGCTCTTTACTCACAATTTCCTCACTCCACCTGCCTCCTGACTGAGGCTGGAGCTCCCGTGTACCCCACCCCCACCCCACTGTGGCCTTCCCCTGCTCTTTTTGTTTGTTTGTTTGTTTGCTACATTTTATTGAATATATTTCATTTCAGATTCTTACAGTTCTCATTTTGTAGTTTCCTCCCTCTTTGTGACCATTTTTTAGCCATAGAGATTTCTAGTATTGCCCAGGAAATCTAATTTCAGTACCTTTATCCTTTTATTTTGTAAATTTTTTTTAAAGATTAGGATAAATATGTACGATTATTTTTTTCAAAGATTATGTGCAAAGGTTAAACATGGAACTGTTAATATACTTAATCACTATAAAGTCATGTCATTTATAATTATAATTCCTACTCTTAGATCAATGAGTCTCCAGTCTGTCTTTTCAAAGGCAATTATCTCCTGATCTATTGCTTTCACCACACCTGAAAAATAATACAACCTGCATTATACTTATTTATTTGTTTGTTTGTTTATTTGAGACCGAGTCTTTGTTGCCCTGAGTAGAGTGCTGTGGCTCACAGCAACCTCAAACTCTTGGGCTCAAGGGATCCTCTTGCCTCAGCCTCCCAAGTAGCTTGGACTATAGGCGCCCACCACAATGCCTGGCTATTTTTAGAGATGGGGTCTCACTCTTGCTCAGACTGGTCTTCAGGTCCTGAGCTCAAGCAATTCACCTGCCTTAGCCTCCCAGAGTGCTAAGATTACAGGCAGAGCCACCTTGCCAGCTTACAAAAACATTTTAAAACAGCTGGGAAATATGCCATTTCATCATCCAGCAGGCCAGTGTGGCTTGTTCCCATGGTGGTGAGGTTCCAAGAGCAAGAAAAGAACAAGGATAAAGAGCAAGTGCTTCTCAATCTTGACTTGTCCCAGGTTTGCTTCCATCCGATTGAGCAGCACAAGGCACATGGCCATGCTGGGAATCAGGGTGGGAGGACTGGACGCCAGGAGGGTTGTGTCTACAGGGAGCCGTTGCTGTAATTAATCCACCTCACGGATTTTTCAGGAAGTTTTTGTATCAACTATCTTCCTTGATGTGAGTAATCTTTAGATCTTGGCCACTGATCTCTTCTAGGCCTTTTAGCTAAGATCCAGTGTAGAATTTGGCCACTGAAATCAGCAAGCAATATTTGTCTTTTCTCCACTCTTGGCAAATGTTGCCAACTATCCCAATACTAAAAACTCTTTTTCAAAAAACTCAGCTTTATAAGCTAATAAGTAAGTTGTTTTACTTAGAGAAGTGACTATTTGTGACTAGAGGATTTGGACAATAGAAAGCGTTTAGGGATTGTAATAAATAGTCATTTTCAAACCAGTGAGAGGATGGTAACCTAACGATAATATTCACTGAACACTTTGAATAATATTACGCCCCTAAAATTCTCATTATTCTAGATAAGGAAAATGGTCAGAAACCCTTTGACTAAGATTTACCTAGATGTATCTTTTTCCTACAATAGGCTGGCACTTTTCGGTTGCTTTCTTTAGAACTTTCAAAATAAAATTTTGAACTTTCTTGTTTCAGAATTCTCTCTTCCTACTATATCACTCACCATTACTGCTGCAGTGTACCAACCTGCTTATGTTGGAAAGTACTTTTGAGGATCCAAGTACCCTAGGAAGCTAAAAGAGAGAATAAGGGGCTGGGTGTGGAGGCTCATGCCTTTAATCATAGCACTCTGGGAGGCTGAGGCAGGTGGATTGCATGAGCTCAGGAGCTTAAGACCAGCCTGAGCAAGAGCAAGACCCCATCTCTAAAAGCAAGAAGATAGGTTGAGCCCAAGAGTTTGGGGTTACTGTGAGCTATGATGCTACGGCACTGTACCCAGGGCGACAAAGTGAGACTCTGTCTCAAAACAGAACAAACAAAAAAAGATGAAATAAATTGGAGCGGAATGCCAGACCTTATTCCTTATTTTCTCTTAATATTAGCTTATCTCCAAGAAGAAAACAGAGAAAAACAAATAATTCTGATGCTTCTAGTCTACTTTTCCCAAATTCTAGGAATAGTCATCAACACAAAAAATATGTCCCTTCCCCACAAAGACCCTGCATGCTTATCCTCAGGGTAAACCCAACCCCAGATTATTTTTTAATCCTAATAGTAATATTAATGCACATATTTTCCAGGCCAATGTGTAAGAATCTGATATACTTTAATCCGAACCTCAACTTAATCATTTACTAGGTGGGGAAATGTCAGCAATTTAAGTCCTCTAAGTGTTAATTTTGACTTCTAAAAAATGGATATAGTAAGTGATAAGTTCTAGTCTCAAGAGAAATTTCAGAGCTACACTTTCCCACCATCCATTCAGTATTCTACCCCAAGAAGGACTTTTGTTGTGACAGGAAGACAACATGGCGTCATCAGGATGTAGCACAACCACTTTATAGAGAGATGGAGCCTTGAGTATGATAGTACTTACTGGGTGAAACTGTCGTGCTTTTGTGTTGGTATCTCTTAGATCTCTCTCCCTGTCATTTTTCTTTCTTCCATCTCAGGATGATGGCATGATAGGTCTGGGCAGGGGGATATCATCTCTTGGAAAAGGCCAAGTAAGAACCAGGGTGAGATCTGGGGGTACCTGAAGCTGGGAATACCTTGCTTTTACCGACTCCCTGGAGACAGAGCCCTGTAGAGATCAGGGGCTAATCTATACTACAAAGTGTAGATTTGTCTGTAGCATCCTCTGGGAAAATGTCTGATGAGACTTATTATGGTTGCCATTTTTTATGTATGAGAATTCAAATTTCTGTCCATATCACTTTCCATCTGAAAGTCATCATTATTCTTAATAATCAAAATCATTGCAGGATTGTTATGAGGATCAAATGAGATAATATTAATATAATTCCCAATTCAATGACTAGTAAACAGTACATACTCATTATATGTTACTTGTTAATTTCTAAAAATACTATTGTTTGATGTTTATGATAGTAATTAACCTCTCTAAAGTATGAATCAGCAAATCAACCTTGAACTTTTTGTGATTATATACCACACTGGTTATACTTCTTCACAAGAGTAATTTAGCTTTTGAGCTTGGCAAATATTTAGCTATCTGTAGGAGTTAAAATGGCCACTGAAAAAAGAAAACTTGCTGCCTTTGCAAAATTCTTTGGCCAGGTTTATACACAGTATAATTTTCAAAATATTAAGTCATATAAAAGCATGGTACATTTTAAATCTCAGAGAAAATGTATGTTTTATCTTAGGGAAACAAAACTCCTAAAGCAATAAAAATGATCATTCTTTGGTTTCCTTTCTGCATTACATTTCCAAAGATGTGAAGAAATTAGAAAATAACTAATGCTATCTCAAAGAAGAAAGAAAAAGATAGCTTTGTGTTAATAGCTCAACATCAGTTTCCTGTAAAAAGAGTCTGACTTCTTAATGATATTGTGGATCGCATTGTTTGCCTGTGTCGAGCCTGAGCAAATCCTTTTTGTCTAAATCATATAATCTCTGTAGATTTATTACTAATTTTATATTTAAAGTAATACCATCAGGAGTATGAAACTTAAATTACTTCTAATTGTACCTCTTTTCAAGACTTTGTGTTTAATTTATTTGTGGGGTGGGGGCAGGGGATGTCTGTATATGATCTTGATACTTGTTTGACGTCCTACTAAGGATAATTCATTCATTTACTGAGGGTTTGAAAGTGAGGGTTCCACCTCAAAAAAATCCATTTCTGTTCCTTCACTAAAAAAATACACCCTGTGTTCAAAATTATTTATACAAATAATACAAATTTATACAAAATTAATTATACAAATAATTAATACACAATGCATACCATGCATACCTTTGAAATGAACCCTCAGTTTTATCAGGAAGGTTTGATTTTCACCCACGCATACACTCACTTTATACATAGCACTGAAGGCTCATGGGTATTTCACAAAGTGAAGGCATTGCTATGTAGCCACAAATCAAATATCTGGCTATCGCATGAGTTTGTAAGGACACTTCTATCATATCCTGGCTTCCAGAGTCCTTTATAAACATGCATCCTGACAACCTTTCCTCCCTTTTGCAGATGACCTCGCTCAACAGGAGGACAGTGATCCCCCCAAAGAATATGATCCTGGGCAATTTGCGGGCCTCCTTCATGGATCCTCTCCAGCCTGTGAATCCCCTGAAAATCCCTTTCATCTCTATGGGAAAAGAGAAAAATGTGAAGAAGAACAAAACGAAATCAGTTTGGCAAGCAGTCCTCTGCCCTTCAAGAAGTCTCCAGTAGAAAATAAGTCTGAACCCTTGGTAAAGAAAATTAAACCCAAAGTGGTCAGTAGGACAATTTTTCATAAAAGAACCAACCAATTGGAAAACCATACCATTGTTGGCACCAGATCAACCAGGAGTGGATCCCGGAATGGGGACCAGTGGGTTATGAACACAGGAGGATTTGTGGAGCGAGCCTGTACTCTGGGGAGAATAAGGTCATTGCCTAAGGCCTTGATCGACATGCATTTATCAAAAAATGTCTCTAAATCTGATTCCGATCTCATTGCCTACCCTTCCAATGAGAAAACCTCAAGAGTTAACTGGAGTGAAGCTTCAACGGCTGAACACAGTTCTAAAGGGAATTCTGAAAGAACACCATCCTTCACATCCGAATGGGAAGAAGTAAGCTTTGTTCTTTTTGCTGGTCTTTATAGAAGGCTTTGGAGTCAAGAGAGGTTTGGGAGAAGGATATTTAGCCTTTTAGAGGGAAAAAAATAAACACACACAGCTCCAACTGGAATGGAAAGGTTCTATGGGTAATACATGGTAATTTCACAGCAAGTATAAAAACAACAGTTCCCCACGTGGATTAATCTATTGTTTCCATAGAAATGGATGTCAAGCAGAAGTAATAACTAGCTATGAGGCATGAGAGAATGTTCACATCTTGTCCTAGCAAGCACTGTAGCTGACAGATTGAGAAAAAGCTTGGTATTTTGCTCTGTGTCATTTGCTATTTGCTAAACTCTTTGTTAGCTCGTCTCCTTTCTTTTAAGTATCTTATATTTTCAGAAGAGCTCCTTAGAATCTTAACCTTAATGGTAAACAGCGTGGTCCTGGCTCTTCTCCAAGCACCATACAATAAACACTCACCACTTGGTATTCCCGTATGTAACTGTCAGGGAAGCATTAAAGAGAAATAAAAAGTTTGGGGGTCAAGTAACACCACTTTAAATTCTACGTAAAGACAAAGTTTAATTTTATAGCATTATTCAGAAAGGAAGATTCCTCATAAGGTTGTGAAATATTATCCTTTGTCCCTAAGGAGGATTACATCATAAAATAATAAAGTTTCTTGGCTTTTTCTTGAATTTCTGCAAAGAATGGGCTATAATTCCTCTTGGTATATTATTCCAGTTCATTACATTTTGTCTTCAAAAGACTCTACCAGCTGGATTAGGTTTTGATTTATTTGTTTGTTTTTTGAGATGTAGTCTCACTCTGTTGCCCCAGGATAGAGTTCCCTGGTATCAGCCTAGCAACCTCAGACTCCTGGGTTAAAGTGATCTTCCTGCCTTAGCTTCCAAGTAGCTGGGACTACAGGTGCCCACCATGATTTCCAGCTAATTCTTTCTATTTTTACTAGGGACAGCATCTGGCTCTTCCTCAGACTCGTTTCAAACTCCTGAGCTCAAAGGATCCTCCCACCACCACCTCCCTGAGTGCTAGGATTACAGGTGTAAGCCACCACACCCGGCCTGGATTAGGTTTTAAAGCACAAGAGGTCACCCTAGTATTCTGAGAACTAGAAATGCATATGGTTCTGAAAGGCACATTCTGAATTAAGCTATTTGGGAAAATCTCTTAATATCTCTGCATTTGTTTCAGGGTCAGGAAAGTGGAATATTTAAGTAATGCACATGGTCCTTTCTGGAATCTGCCATCATATTTATTTACGTTGCTAAACTTAGAAAAGGAATTAAACCATGAATGGCTGTAGCTTAGACAGTCATATCTTCCTATAAATTCCATACTAGTACATAGATGGGTAGCTTTGTCAAGTATATCATTCCTTATGTTTTTTAATTCTGTGAATAACGTCTGAAATCCTTTTTTGGAGGCAAGATTAGTTAAAATTTAACTTTTCTCTTAGAACTATGTCTGTGCCTAGATTCTCGTGCATGGATGCCACTAGTCACCTTGTATCTGGCCAAATTGTTTAAGTAGAACTCATCTCCAGTGGTTGCACCCTCAGCCTGAAACCCACTCTTTACCAGTCAGGTGGGAAGCCTGCTCTCCAGCAGCAGCAGGAGGATGCCAGATGGCATATACTTTGTCACCTGACCTTGTCCTGAGACCCTTCTGATTTAAAGAACACATAGTTCCTAGATTCTACCACCCCATCCAAATACAAAAGAAATACAAAGAAAAGTCAAGCTACTTTTGAAAGTTTAAGAGAAGGGATCGTAATTTAAATTAAAAAGAAAAAAACAGTCCAAAAGATTTTTGCTCCCTTTAAGTCCTTCCCTATCACTCTCTTAATTGTGGAATTGCTGTGGTCACAACAGCAAGAATATGGACTATTCTGGCATTTGAAAGTCATTTTAAAATGCAACATTCGAAGTCAGTGTAATAACCCACCTACATGATTTTTGTTTCTCACAGATTGACAAAATTATGAGTTCCATTGATGTTGGGATCAACAGTGAACTTAAAGAGATGAATGGTGAAATCACAAGTAAGAAAACCTTCCTCTACCTTACAGTGAATAAATGTGCTTAAGAGATAGCCAATAATGATAGGAATCTTTAGATGATTTTATATTTTGTCATAATAATAGGGACTACAAATTATTTCCTTCTACTCTGAGTCCTGACAACAATGATCTGTAAGCATATCAATTAGAAGAATATTGATGCAGCAAATTGAGCGATTTTTATCTCATGCTATTTTATTGTGCCACTTAATAGGATATTAATGAAGTTTCAGCTTTATGTACAGCTCAGTATGACACATTTCAAAGTGTTGTAGAATTGGATGACTTAATATACTATGATTTCTCATTCAGTGAAAAAGTCCATTCATCTAACCAAAGAGATTACCAACTTCTGCTAAGTTGTAAGCTCCAGTTGGGCAAAAACTGTGTGTTAATCTCCTTCAGGTATCCCATGGTACCTAGCAGAGTGTCCTACAAATAGTTGGTTTGGTAGTTATTAATATATTACCATTACTCAGAGTTATTTTCTTCTCTCTGACTAAAGCTCAGAGGGAAAGCTCTTATCAGTTTCTGGTCTACTCAGTTTTTTTCTTGTTGGAGTCTTGTAGTGGGTCCAGGGACATTTGATTATTTCATGAGTGACACAGGGTCTACCAGAAGCTCCAACAGCTGGACCTACAGTATAACCACTTCAGGTAAAGCAGGTGCAGTCGATGTGTGGATTCCATGACAAACACACACACCCCTCAACCCAAAAGGTCTGGTTGTTTTCATGTTTTCAGTTGACATATTTGAAAAATTAAGAAAGGGCCCTGGATCTCACCATCCTTGCCATTTTCTTTTGAGGCAAAACCAAATTAACTACCTGCATCATTACGACTGCTAACATGAGGTAGTGTTCCTCAAAATGTGGCCCACTGACCATCTGCATCAGAATCACTTCCAGCAAGGGTGAAAAATGACGATTCCTGGGCCCTGTGCTACATACTAATCAGCATTTCCAGGGGTGAACCCCAATAATTCTCCTTTAAAACAAGGGCTCCAAGTGACCACAACGTGGCAATTTTTTTTTTAGCAGGTTCCAGCTGGGTTCAAACCCACCAGCCCCAGTGCATGTGACCAGCACCCTAACCACTGAGCTACGGGCAGCAAGAGCCAGAATAAATCTTACAAATGCCACTCAGTCGAAGTTCCCTTTTAGGGCCTTTTAGGGACAAATCTGCCCATAATTTCCCTTTAATTCTCTCTACCTCTGACGTGGCCATCCTGCCTGCTGCCTGTATTTATCATTTTTCTACAATGATAACAAAAATGCAAGTGGAGACTCAGTCCTGAAAGAATCACTATTATTAACAAAGACTGGCTCTGTGTGTGCCTTAAGTTTTTCCCCTTAATTACACACTGATTATGTACTAAGTGAGTGACTGACCATGACACGTAGCATGCCAATCAGCAATTAGGCCAGTTGTAAATTATGGTTTCTCTGCAGCCCTTTCCCTCTCAAGGGTAGATTTAACTCTACAGTCACTCAACAAGCCCACGAAGGTGGCATTCCGCAAATGATATTTTGGGTATGGAGGATGGTTGGGAAATCACACAGTGACATAAAAAGTCAGACAGACACAAATACAGATCTGAGCTCTGCAAGGGATTACTGATTGCTTAATCTTAGGCAACTTGGTTTCCCCAACTGGCGGAAGTAGAGATACTGGGATAAGGTCATTGTAGAGAGTGCAATGGCGTATATGAACAAGTCGGACACGTGGGACATGTATTAAATTTTGCCCTTGCCTTCCCTCTGTCCTCCCATGAGGGAGACGTTGCATTCAACACTGTGCTCTACCAAGATAAATACACAGAAGCCTTTTCTCTATGAGCTTTGTGATGTCAGCTATTTTCACAGGCTTAATGTTAAATTTGGCGTGTTTCTTGGAATTTTTTGTGACATCCATTGTAATACAGATTGTAACAAACCAACCAGTTAACTGGTACCAGAGAAGAGCAGTTACTAAAAGAGAGCACGGAATGTCAGGTACCCTGGCAAAGAAAAGAGAAAAATGTGTATGTGATCTAAGTGCTGTGTGACGAAGTCTGAGTATTCTCTTTTTGTGTGACAGTGGGGAAGGGACGTGTCATGAAATTAATGGGAGGTAAATTACACTTGATCTTAGCCAAAAGGCCAAGAAGCCACAATGGGAGGTAAATTTAGAATGAATGAGAGGAAAGGCTACTTTGCCTAGCGTGTGGGGTTTACCTCCAAGGTTGCTTTGTAAGGCCCGTAACTCAGGTGCTCTGCCTGGCTTCAACAGGGCTACGTAGTTCTATGAGCATCTGTGAGGTCTGTTGCTTAAAACCGTAAAGCATCTCAGAAGCTGATTGGGGGAAGAAAATCATAAGCAATAAAGATGAAGGACCAAGGATCAGTATTACATTATGAACGCTCTTGCTCATTTTGTTTTAGTGATTTTGTTTGCCCTTCTCCACCTGCACATTCTCTATGTCAGGTTTTTTTGTTTTTGTTTTTGTTTTTTTTAATTGAGACAGAGTCTCACTTTGCCACCCTCGATAGAGTGCCATGGCGTTATAGCTCATAGCAACCTCAAACTCTCAGGCTCAAGGGATTCTTTGGCCTCAGCCTCCCTAGTAGCTGGGATTACAGTCCCTAGTAGCTGAGACTACAGATGCCTGCCACAAGCGCTGGCTAATTTCTTTTTGTTTAGCAGGCCCAGGCCGGGTTTGAACCTGCCAGCCCCAGACCATGTGGTTGGTGCCCTAACCACTGAGCTACAGGCACCCAGCCTGGTGTCAGGTATTTTACAAATGAAATATTTATTGAACCAGGAAAAGATTTGGGACCCTCTCATTTTCACTTCTGAATGGTCTCTATGAATTTATCTGACAGTTTCACTCATAGAAATCAGTTTCCTCTCTTTTTTCTTATAATTTCCTCAGCAATTACATAGTAGTTTGAAACTTATCCAGCAACCTCAGCTGTCCAGAACTAAGATAAAAATAAAATTAAATGAAATTTACTGAATTTATTTTAGCTCAGTCGCCTCAGCTCTCACTCAGAACACATCAAGGCGTAATTTTCAGAAAGACCACTTCTGGTTTCCCACTTGAAATGAGATTCAAAAGCCAAACAAATCAGTGTTGACAGTAGGATTCAACTATATTGAATACCTCATGTGTAGAATTCCTCTCCTTCACTGATGCTGGACCTGTGACATGATAGGTTGTCACGCATTCCCAGGTTTGCATTTTTTAGAGTTCTTTCAGAGGACAGATGTTGACATTAGATGGGACTGATTTCAAATCCCACTTTTGTAGTTTCTGATCTCTCTGATGGCAACTTCCTTATCTGAAAATTCCGATTTTAGAAGATTTGCATATACCTAACTAAATATCTTGGGGATGGGACCCAAGTGTAAACACCAAATTCGTTCATGTTTCATATACACCTTATATACATAGCCTAAAGGTAATTTTATGTAACATTTTTAATCATTTTGTGCATGAAACACAGTTTTGACTGTTTTGAGGTCCTGTGCTACATGAGGGCAGGTGTGACCTTATCTCACGCCATCATATGGAGCTCACAAATTTTGGATTTGGGAACATTTCGAATTTTGGATTTGCAGATAGGAATGCTCAACTTTATGGCCTGGAACATCACAGGTGATTAATCAATATACATCCTCCTCCCTTCTTATACAAGGACACATGACTTGTTTTTCTAATTAGCATGGATGTGACACAGGAAGATATACAGGAAATCTTGCTTATCTTTTTGATCACTGAGGACTGCAGTTGAGGTATAACTACGCATTTTACCTATTCTATGTTGCTTGAAGAATCATTTGGCAGTCCTATTTCATGTTTCGTTTACCTTCTTTTTTGCTTTTTCTTAAGAGACTGTGTCTCACTCTTTTGCTTAGGCTGGAGTACAGTGGCCCAGTCATAGCTCACTGTAGCCGTAAGCTCCTGGACTCAAGGGATGCTCCTGCCTCAGCCTCTCAAGTAACTAAAACTACATGCACACCACCATACCTAGCTAATTTCTATTTATTTATTTATTGTAGAGACAGGCTCTCACTATGTTGCTCAGACTGGCCTTGAACTCTTGGCCTCAGCTAATCCTCTCTTCAGCCTCCCAAAGTGCTGAGATTACAGGTGTGAGCCACCACACCCATCCTGAAGTTTTATTTCTTAACCATCGTCATTGTAGCACAAGGAAGTGCTTTCAAGTTAGGCAATGTACCATGTCCACCAGAACTGCTTCACATTCTCATATAGTCTAAGAGTCAAGTGGATGGTGTCCTTGATGGGACTCAAGGTCCCTAGGTAACGTGGCGGCAGGAATTGGCTCTGCAGGGCATGTTACCATTACACCACAGCAAACATGCAGAGTAATCAGGTGCCCAGACTTTATATTTTAGAGGGGTAGCAGGTAATCTTGTAAACTCTCTCCTGTTTCTAAACTGGTTTTAATAATCTCACATTTCACTAAACAGACTCCACGGTATATGGTATCAGACTCCAGGCATACGTAGTATCAGGTTGATCACAAGTGCATTACTATAAAAGTAAAATTTGGTTAAAATGTATTTTTAAGGCTAGAATTTTTTCCTTATACTTAAGGTTAAATTGTACTCAAAGAGAAATATGCTACAGCTGTATCTTTGAAAAACCTGCTTTTGTCAATATATGGATTCCCCCTAAATCAGTGTTTTTCAACATTTTTCATCTCACGGCACACTTGAGCCTGTAGTTAAACTTCCACGGCATGCTTAAATCATATTGATCCAAAAAAAGAGTTAAAGAAGAATGTACTTACTGTGCTTTCAACGTCTTTTAAAAATACTTTAATTAATGATCTTTAAATTTTTTCACAGCACACCTACGATCCTCTCACAGCACACGGGTGTGCCATGGTACACAGGTTAAAAATCACTGCTCTAAATTTTAGTTATGAATGAAAGCTATTAAAATGAATTCATAAAGAATTTCTGTCACAGAGT